TTGTCACTTGACAAGTCATATTTTTGAAATTCATTTTTCACACCTGTGGGTTTATTACTTGCTTAGTTTGGTTTGAATTTCACACAAAGCTACTCAAGGATTATTTGTGCTAGCCGTCCATAATTTAGAAGTGATAGACTACAGAGTTAACATTACCCACCGCCACTTCTTGAGCTATTCTTTTAACAATGAATTGAGGGACTGACCGTCTCATTATAACGCCCCCATGGCTAAAAGGGCGAGCATGTTCGGTGACGGGGATTCGAACCCGCGACCCGCAGCTTGTGAGTCAAGACGTAACCATCAAGCCAAACCAGGCCTACTTGGCTTCTTGTAATGATTATTGAACTAGTTGACATAGAGACTCACAGAAAATAGAGAGAAAGTCTGGGTACTCTTTTTTCCATGATCAGCATTCATTTAAAGTGAGCTTCTTCTTTTTTTCTGTTTCATATATTATTGAATTTTCCACTTTTGTTCGTCTTGCCATGCCTTTAGCAACAAATATACATCGCATTATAATCTAATGTTGGAGTTCTTTACTGTTGTTATTGTGTTCTGGCCGTGCACTACAAGAGTCAAATTCCACCATTCGATTAGTTAAGAGTAGCAGAAAAAGTAAGCGATGGGTTCTGCTAACTAGTTGTCTTCCTTGTAGTTGAAATAAATAATGGAAACAGAAAATGAAATTGTTATAGTTTTCTCTTCGTTGTTTTTCAAACGAATAGGATTTGAAATTGTCAAATTAACAATTAGTTGTGTAAATTTATAAAAGAATAATAGTTTTATTCTTGTTTGTTTATAAGCACAGAGCTACACAATGACCTATCTGTTGTGTACTGACTGCAGGTATCGTAACTCAATTTTTAGCGTGATAAGCTTTTATACTTACTGCTGGGCTACTGGGTGGCACAATGAATAAACAGTGAACTTTGTATTAACTATATTAAAAATTAAGATTTTTATTAAAGCAACCATAAAAATAACAGAATGCCCATTTTTCCCAAAAGGTGGCACAAATTTTCATTCCTTTCCGTGAGAGAGAATTTGTACCATGGTTAATGATATGAGGCATAGCCCTAGTCGTGCTATAAATTGTTTTCGGCTAATTATTCTTATTTGAATGTTTTTAATATAAAATTAAAGGGTAGCTTTTAATGTAAGAAATGATTTCATATCAAATATTATTTAATATCTGGCGAAGTAACTAAACACACACACACGTATATATTTAACTTTTAAGTCGTGATTAAGTTATATGTAAAAAACATGGTTAGGGTTAACTAGATTAGAATAGAAATACTGTCTAAACCTAATTCTAAAGCCGTTTTAAGTAACTTTACAACGTAACTATTCAACATCTAGCAAAAGACAGGAAGGAACTTACAACTACGTAATAATAGTATTATTAACAATATATATATATATATATAAGCTATAACAACAAATTGTATAAATTTTAATATGGAGAAGAAAATGAATACAAAATATACGTAGGGGGAGGAATATGTAAATTTTACAAAAGTTAAGGATACAACTTGATTTGATTATCACGTTGTTAGAAACTACGACCTTCTAGTCAGAAAATATGTAACTCGAACATACAAGTCTAATTAATTTAATAACCTTGGTTCCTTTCAGCTCTCCGTGTTTTGATGTACTCATTTTATTAAACTTTATTTTAATCTTTGTAAAATTTACTTATTTATTCCCTATGCATATTTTTATATGTTTTTATTTAAAATTTGTAGTTTGTTATATACATGTATATACTACATATGTATGTTTTATGAAAACATTTTGATCACTGCTATAGCAATGTGTAAATTCAGAAATGTCCAAAGATTAAAAATGCTTTGTTTACCCTGGTGATTCTATTTTTAATTAAACTTAGTATTAATAATAATGGTTACCAGTTTGGGAATTTGCAGAAATTTATTTGCATGATGGAATAATTAATTAATAATAATTAATTTTGAAGTATGGAGATAACTGAAATACAAGTCTTGCATCTATATAGTTAAGAGAAGCGTATCCATTTTACTATTAGAAAACAGCAAGTTAAATACAACATATCTTGCACTTAGATATAAATTTGTATATGTATTATATATCTTATTAAGTGATTAAGAAAAATGAAGGTTAGATTGCAATATAAGAAATTAAAAGTGTTTAATCTGAAAATTTTAAGCATATATTATAAAGTGTAAGTATTTTTGAGTAAATCACAACCCACAAACTATTATTAAAACAGACTACTATATACCTAATCCTTGCATATATTATATCATTTCAAACTTGTTGTTCAATAATTTTGGTGAGTTAGTGCACTTTAGGGAGTATGAGGTTTAATAAACTTAAATATTTAACAGGCGATCTCTGATTTAACTAGTGAAAATTACTGGAGTTTGTTAAGTAGGTAGAATCTTTGACAAGTCTAGAAATCTGTAAAAGCATAAGTAAATTAGAAGGATGGGTAAGGGCACAATCTGCCAAGCATTTTGCTGCAGTTGGAAAGGCTATACAGTTGGAGAGTTGAACAGCTTTGGGTTATGATCATAAGTCAAGATGAATATTGTAAACAGCTTGTCCACATTTTGTTTTTCACCTTTCTACAATCGTTGTTTCTCACACTCCTCTTTTCATAATTAAGGACCTTCTGGAACCTCTTCGAAAATACCTGGTGGATACATGAATACAGTTCTTTACTTGAGGCATTTATTTACAGTATTACCTTTGTCACAGATAAATATTCTCTGATCCATTTTTTTACGACCTACATTTATAGTCAAGGGTGTTGCACTGTGATCATATCCACATCTGCTGTGCTGTTAACATTCTGATCATTTTATAACCTCACACTTACAAGTCAACTTTGAAACTGATGCTTCATGATATTTGTATGGATTTTTGAACAACATGTATAAGTGTTTTTAAAGAAGAGCAGTGTTTTATCAATTAAAAATGCATTAGAACATACGATGGTGAGAAACTAATTTTCAGCAAAACATTACTCCCACTAACTCCTCCAGAAGTGACTATTTCTCTATATTAAGGTTGTCATACAACATTCAAGTCATCATAAACTAAACTGAAGTTGACCAAATCTGTAGGTAATACAACTAAATCCTGGACTTAACTGGATTAGAAAAGTTTAGCAAACATGTTCTGGTTAAGTCTGAGATCACTTAGTAATTTATTTCTATTGTGTACAGAATTTTAAACTGTGCACAAGCAGAATCTTTTTCGTTTCCATACTATAAAAATATATATCAAAATAAAGCCTTGAAAATCACAACATGCAAGTTTGATACTACTTAATAATGTTTTAAAATTTGTGTGTGTGTGATCAAAACATGATTTAGAAGTTGTATGTTATTATTTGCATGAATTCAGTGTTTAAGATGATTTGGTCAGCTTAGGTAACACTTTATAAAGAATGTACAGGCTTTTATCCTATACATTAAAATAAACTGTTGAAGGTGTTTTTTTCTTAGATTTTAATGGAACTCTTGATGTGGTTCATTAATTGAAAGTATACAACTTCTCCGCTTGAAACAAATAATGTATGATGACCACAGTTTAAGTGACGATGAAGATTTTGAAAATGAGGCTCAGTCATCAGAACTTCAAGGAACTCTCAGTAAGTGGACGAACTACATACATGGTTGGCAGTCGAGGTACATTATCTTGAAAAATGGTGCACTTTCTTACTACAAATCTGAAAATGATGCTGGATATGGATGCCGTGGATCAGTTAGTATACATAAGGCCACAATAAAGGTTTGTGCAACTTAAAACCTTGAGCTAAACTTGCCTAAAAATAGTTAGGACTTTAAAACGAAATTATGAATAAATCTCCTATAAATACAAAAGATTAAAATTAGATAAACAAAATATGTAGTGATAGAATAATAACAATTTTTTTCATTGAAATACCAGTTCATAGACCAAAAATATATAGTAAAACGCCATTATTTGAATAATATAGTTAATTAAAAATTGAGTATAATTTTTTGCAGTTCAAGTGCAATTATGAAAGAAAAATGTTGAATAATTTAAATATATATATTTGTATATTCCCTTAAAAATTTGTGCTTAATAAATACGCATACTACCTTGCTTTTAAATGCTGGTATAGTAATAAATGTTTTATAGAGTTTTTATGTTGTTTCACTGTTTACTAATCTTGGTTTGTACAATTCATGAGATCAATTCAGAGACTACATGATTTCAGCCATCTATTTAGGTCAGTGAATATTGATATAGAATATTAATTAACAAGCAATCTCTGACTTAATGGTAGAAAATTATGAGTATTTGAATACATG